TGACATCCAGGTCGCAAGTGCCGCGCACTAATTAACGCTGTGTCGATAGCAATGCTACATGTCCCGATACGCCAAGAAACGGCTGTAACCACGGCGTCACGTTGCGTTTACAATCCATCAAAACGCGATAAATCGCGCGGCCCTGCGCCGAATTATTATTCGGGCGCGGCGCGGCGCGGCGCCGCGTTTCACGTGCGATCGCGCGAATTTCAGCCGCGGATCGTTTGGGAAACACTCGAGGGCGAGGGCAGGAGGGTAAGCCAATGGGACGCGAAACGGGAAGGTCGCCCCTCCCACCCCCTTCGCGAAAATCACACTGGGGGGAGAGAATAGTCGATCTTATCAAGATCATTCTCGGCGCCAGCTATGTCTGCCCGCTCTAACAAAAGAGGAAAGCAGTATAGTGATGAATACAAAATTGTTGTCGTCAACACACGTTTAAAAGAAAAAAATGGCTCCCCCGACCACAATTCCTTCGCTAAGCGATTGTAATCGCGAGCACCGAGCGTGTTTTTTTCACTGCAGCGAAAATTTGGAATTATATATGCACCAACGCACACGCGCACGCATGGCGCGAGCTTCGAGCTGCCAGCGATATTTGTTATGATTTATCGAAACGGAGCGGCTAACAATAATTGCCCGAATGATACTTTTGACAACACACCGCCACTGCCACCACCGGGCTGCTACCGTCATGGCAATTTCCGTAGGAAAACACGATGCGCGTAACATTGTCGTCGCATTAATATTTATCGCTCCCGCATCATCAAACTTCCCCCCACCCCCTGCCGGCATCCTTCGTCCCTAGCCGCACCCCTGCCCCTGGCTATTGTTCAATTCTTCGTCTCGCGTATCATTAATATCCGCTTTTCTAATAGTGCAATACATAAATAAACATCTGTAAATGCGTAAATGCGGTGGCGGCCCGATCGATTTGCTCGGTCGGTCGCATTCGCGAGCGTCTCTCTCCTCCTCTCTCTCTCTCTCTCTCTCTCTCTCTCTCTCTCTCCCTCTCTCTCTCTCTCTCTCTCCCTCTCTTCCTCTCCGGGTGTGACTGCGTCGCGGCCGCATGAGAGCCAGCGGATTGATTCGCGGAAATTTCACACGCCGTCCTCGCTCGGAAATTTATTTCCATTCTTTCCACGCGGCTCCGCATTATTCAGCGCGATCTCGCTCGTTAAATATGTCGCCCATACGTACGTGCGTATGTATATATACATGTGCCATGTACACACGCACACATATATAGACACACATACGCAACGTAGATTCGCGCGGTGAATGACGGTAGCTAACCGGGGCGCAGTCTGTCATGTCGCTTTTCCCGATGGCGGCCGGTTCGAAAAATTCGAGGTATTTATTATGGGCGCGATTGCGTGCACTCTCTCTCTCTCTGTCTCTCTCTGTCTCTCTCTCTCTCTCTCTCTCTTTCACCGCTCCTCCCTAGCAAAAGAGATATTAAATCACCGTGCGGTGGCGTCGCGAGCGACCGATTAATTAACGTCGCACCGGTCGACGCGAATTCTTCGCGACGTGGACATTTACGAGCCGGCCGCGATGTATTATAAACGCAAAGCGGAGGAAGGTAAGGAAGAGGAGGAGAACGGAGGGACCGCACGGTGTCTGGCAACTTAGTTTCCGAACCTTCTATTTGCGATCAATTACTCTTCGTGCAGTTAATTACTCTTCGTCTAGTTGCCGGCTGAAACGGGGGAAGTTGCGCTCCTTATTTTCGCGATGGATCGACGCGCGGCCCTACGCGAAAGATGCGAGCGCAGGCTTCAAAAGTCGTCTGTCGCGGGCGCGATAATAACGAGGCGGAAACGCGAGAAAGGGAAAGAATTCCCCGTCGCTTTTCGAGCGCGAACGTTGAGCGCCACTTTCAGCTGATGGATTAAATCCGTCGCGATTCGTGGCTCGGCGGGATATAAATTACATTTCGCTCCAATTTCGCTCGAGTGTCGATGGTCCGACAAGACGGACTTGGCAACTTGCAAATTCGAAAAAAAAAAATTGAAACTTCGCGGAAAGAGGGGTACGCGTGAAAATAATGACACAATTACTTTCTTTTCAACTAACGATTAGAGGATTGGTCCTTCATATTTCTGCTAATATCTTTGTATATGAAACCATAAGAAGAGACCGTAAAAAATATTGAGGAAATTTAATAACATTTCATATTCTCTGTAACGCTGTGATGAGAAATAATTTTTGAATGAAAGGAGTGTGTAATGAGGGAAGAAAGTTTCTCGAGGAAAAGATCTTTTTTTTTATTTTCTGGAATTCTCTCATAACAGTAAATTGAAAATTGTATTTTTCTAAAACTTCTATTTTTCTAAAAGTTACATTCTTCCAGCTCATAAAAGTCTATGTTTGTAAAATTATATTTTTCTACATTTATTTAAGATTCACGAGATGTTTTGTCTAAAATTATAAAACGTACATGCCATGAAAGTCTATATTTAGAATTTTTCCGGCAACTCTATTTCTCCAGTTTTTTGCGGGCTTGAAGATATTAGCAAAAGTATGAAGAATCTTATTTCCCTCGGAAGTACGTTTTTAACCCTAGTGCCTTCTTCTTCAGCTCAAATTAGAAGAAACAACTTTGTCATTAAGCTCATATGTACGTTCTCCCTGTAAAGTTGCCCTGTAAACCTTGAAGAGACCATTGTACTTTCCTTACGAGATCCTCGATTAACGGTGAAGGACACACGAAAGCTGATGCGCTTAATTGAAATACACATATCGAGAAGAACATTGCGGTTAATGGCTCTCGACCATACTCGACAGTTAACCTTGACCCCTCAGTTTATTGACACAAGCGAACATGACCGTCGATATTGCCAGTTTCGTATTATTTAACGATTTTCGGGGCTCTTGCCAAAACATAATAAATTCGCCTCGTTCGCTCACTCATTCTTTCATTCCGAGGTCGTGTCCACTGTCCAGAAGGACACGCGGACTCGAGGTTGGTCTAATTGACTAACGCCTCGATTTCGTGCGGGTCTGCCCTTCCCTTTCCCTCCATCTCTCTATGTTTTTTCTAGGCCACGCACGTAGCACGGGGTACCAACGCCGTCGCCGACGGCTGACTGGCCATCTGAGACTGTGCCAAGAAAAAGGAATACGCAGACGTGGCGTGTAGTTTTACTCTTAAGTCGATTAAGTTCCTTTTTATATCCGGCCATCCCCGCCGCCCCTCTCGCTCTCATCCACGTCGACTCGCCGTGCGCGGCTGTTGGCTCGACCCCGAGGCCGCCACTAGGGGATGGGAAAATATTTCGAGAGGCGGTTTGGAAAATTTCCGGGATGCCTCTCGCGGAAAGACGTGACCGAGTAACGATCGAAGGTTTTATCCGACCCCGAAAACAATAGCGGGTAAATTGAAAGACGACCGATACGCGCGCCAAGCGACCGCGCGAGGATCCCTGAGGCACGTCTGCGGCGCGAGCAGCCCGAGAGAAAGAGAAAGAGAGAAAGAGGGAGTCTATCTCCTTTCGGCTTTAAACATTGATTCCGCAGATCGGCGGAAATCAAACTAATATTCTCTCCGGGGAAATGTCCCCCCTTCGAAGGTGGAAAGCCGTTCCGTCGAGTCGCGAGACGACGAGTACGCGTTCGTGAATGTGCGCGAGACGAGAAGTGGAGAGAGAGAGAGAGAGAGAGAGAGAGAGAGAGAGAGAGAGAGAGAGAGAGAGGGAGGGAGAAAGAGAAAAGATGATACAATGGGTGTCGTATATTTTAACGCTCATCTGGGACGAACGGTTTTGACGCTGACCGCCGCGGTGACATTAGGAAACTTTGTTATTTTAATCCTCAAAGGCTACGGCTGTGGGTGAAATTTCACCCTATGCGAGTTTTTCGTCTTATTAAAAAACGTAACCGCACTGACAATGTTAATTTTATAGGTATTTATTTACACTATCAGCGACAACGTTATGATAAAAGACCAGTTCTCGTATATACTTTACAAATAAACATAAACGTAACAAGAAAAATTAGCTTGGGGTGATATTTGATGGTAGCTTTTAAGGGTTAAGATGAATGTACACTGTCCTGAGAAATGTGTGTCGAAATTTAAAAATGAGATGATTTCCTGGCAAGTCACAACACCGAAGAATTTACTAAAGTATAATTTTACCGAAATACTGGAATTGTCTTGTTGTACAGCCGGGATAATAACCACTCGTTATTCTGTTATGAAAAAATTCTGCATGCTGTTTCCCAGATAATAATTCTTCCTCGCAACAATTGTTACGGGAAAATTCTCTTCGGAAAAATTGCGCTCCAAGGTATCGTCTCGACATTCAGATTTCAGTATTATAACTTTGCAGGAAACTGTTCTGATTCCTAAATCTCGAGATTTTGATTTTTCGCTGCAATGTATATCCGTTGATTTCAAAATCGACGTGTTATTTTAACGTGTCAATTAATTTAATATATTTATCATTCGGCAAACTTGGTAAGAAAAATGCATCGCCCCAAAAAAGCTGCTGCGCGAGTTAATTCGCGCGTCAAGAGATTTTCGCGTTGTAAAGAGATTCGAAAAATGCATATCATTAAATACTTTCTTTCTTTAGATCGACGTCGAACGTAATAAAACAGATCGAAAGCACGTGAATTGTGTCATTCGATCCATCTTCAGTGAGAAACGGACTGATATATATATCCATTTCCGATGCAAGTGGGTTAACTCGCACGGAACAGAGAATTCTCTCTATCGTACGATAACTCGTATTTGGCAATCAGTATGTCAAAGACTAAAGGAGGGCAAAAACGCGCGTGACGTGTGAACGAGCGCTCATCATTCTCGCAATTCCTCGTCATCAGCGTTGAAAAGAAGACGTAGATAAAATAAAAAGATACATTTTAACGATGTCGACGGATTCTTTCGCAAATTCTCTCGCAAATTTCTATTTGTGCCGAGAGACACGCTATGTTAGCGGTTTAATGATCGCGAGATCGAGACCCTGACTCGAACTTTGCCATTCTGCTTGCAGCCGTTTTCGCCGAGTGCTCTCATGAAGTCATCACTCAACGGAGAACATGGAGACCGATTGCTTATCGATAATCGCTAGGCTGTGCATCCTGCTGATGCTGTTCGGCCCGGTCACGGACGTACACTCGCTCGACATACGTAAGTACGATTTGAATTACTAGGCATTCGAGCCTTTGATCATTGGCGGACTCGTAGAACGTACGATTCCGTTCCTAACGAATAGAACCTGTCGATTCGGATGAGCTTTGGATGGACGCATAAAGCGGCAAGAAATATAAGAGACAGTGCTTCCTGTGCGCATTTAAGGATGGAAACAAGCCGTCGGAGGTAATGCGATCAAATTGATTTCGATAAAATTGAAATTCGAAACGGCGATGGGAAGTGAGAAAGAGTATCTTGAACAAAAATACTAATTTTTTAATATACTTTTAATATACCTCATAACTTTGCGCGTAAATTTTTCCAAAATGTCACATGAGGACTGGGAGTACACTGAAAAATGACACGTTCGAAAAGTCGAAATGCACAGTCAAAGGACATTAAATGCCGTAAAACTTTTATTTAAAACATTTTTTTTTGCCTATGGTTTTGAAAATATTCGCTCACGATCAATTTCATTGAATTTTCTTCGGGGTCCCTTGTGTCGACCTCTAAATGTACAAAAATAGACGTCTGTTGTACATTCAGCTACTCTACGAAAACGTATAAATAAAAATTGCTCTGGGGCAGTTCTATGTATTTCCTTACAAGTTGAAATTCCCGAAAAATCAATTTAATACAATAATTAAAGTAACCCCCTTTTATATTTAATTAAATTTCTCCCATTTAAAAATTTTGCGAGTTGACGCTCGGGAAGAAACCGCGCACATTGCAATTCGTGTTCTACGATCAATCCTACAGATTTGCTTTAAGGCTTTCATTGTTATGAGATACCGCAAGGTTAAGTCGTGTCCGCGGAGGAGGAGGAGGAGGGAATTAACGACTAATGAAACGAGCTACGCATAAAAATTATATCTCGCGGGCACGAAAGTCCAACGAATACTTACGAACTTGATCCCGCGACTTTCGCTCACCGCGTGAGAAATAAAATGCCAAAAGGGGGAGGGAGAAAGGTATAGCACGGATCTATCGCCCGGCGAAATGACTATCTCCATCAATCGTTCTCTATCAGGCGAAGGACGAGATCGATTTCGATTTCCGCGCGCACGATTGCATCTTCCGCCGAGAGAGCTTGCTTCTCGCCTCTTCCCCTCCTCTCCCTGCCAGTTTCCCTCTCCCATCTCTTACAACCGTGTAACTTAATATTTCGAGAGTACTCCGACGAACATTAATTACGAGGGCTATCGATCACCGGCGCGTCGATATTCGTCGCGCCAGAAGTGACGCGCGGCGGCGGCGGCACGCGCGCAATTTCGTCGCGACAGACAACAAAAGAAAAGGAAGGAAAAAAGTGGGCGGTCAGCCGCGCGGGAGAAGTCTCAACAAACGACGTGTTTCCGGGACGAATTCCGGAGCGCTGCAGCTGCGGAGAGCCCGTCCCGCATCGAGGATGTTACCCTTTACCCCCCGCGCTTCGCCTCGCCTCGCCGCACCCTCGCAAGCCCGATCTTTCTCTCTTCCCTTGTCTCTCCCTCTCTCTCTTTTTTCTCTCTTTCTCGCACGAGCTCCTTGACCGTCGTTCCCGCCTGCCTGTCAAATTTTTCATCGGGAGCAGGTGATTTCTGAGTTTTTATTTTCCTGCGGCCCGACGCGACGGCGATGGGGGCGCTATCACTCCGCGGTAATGACTCGCTATTCTCCATCCGCCCGGGGGGTCAATTATTTTGAATCTAATGCGACAGGATAAATTGCATCCCGCGGAGGGCTCCTCGCGCGCCGCCCTCTCTCCTTTCCCCCCGCCCCGCCACGATTCCGCCTCCGTCCCTACCGACAGGGTGGTGGAGCGATTTTGCTCTAAAAGGCGCGCCGCCTTCGGAAAACAACCTCTCATTATAGCCGAGGCGTACACACCGAGTGGGAAGCACGGAGAGAGAAAAGAGAGAGAAAGAGAGGGGGAGAGAGAGAGAGAGAGAGAGAGAGAGAGCCACCTTGTAGCTCGACAAATTGGTCAGAAAGCGGCGTCTATCGATTGGCCGCTTAACGTTGCCTCCCTCGCGTGCACCTCGAATATTTGGAGTAGTTTTCTGCAGAGTCTATGTATACACGGGGTGAGCTGCTCGCCAGGGGGCGAGCGGTAAATTTTTACGTCTTATCGCGCGTCTCACGACCGCGCGATTTCATCGGGCAACACGTCGATCCGCCGCAGATAATCAAGGTGCGCGGAAACATTATATGTCTCTCGGTTGCTTAACTGATCGTGCTCGTGAGATTGCCCGGCTGAAATTTCACTCGCAAAGCAGAGCGAGTCATTCGAATTCGAGTAACTTCAGAGTCGTGCGGAGCAGTAACTCGTGCAGAGTTCATTATTCGAAATCGCCGAGCGAGTACGTTCATTCGGAAATTCCGAAGAGTAAATCTGATACACGAACAAATTTGCTCCGATCTATTGAGATTAATGGATGGATTAAAAGTTCAACGTGAAAGTGAACATTACTTTCGTTATTCCAAGTAGCGATATTTTTTAGTATCTTTTCGAGTAAGATTTCGCCCCAAGAAATTTAGGGATTAAAATATCCTGTTAAATGCGCCAGAGAGGTCAGTTCTAAATGCCAGCAGGCGACTGGCTAAATTCTGTATAATCGACTAAAAGATTCACTCATACGGATAAACAAATCTGCATTAATTTTACGCTAAAACTTGATGACCCTTAATAACAATTCACTTTCATTATTGCTTGATTTCAATGAGGTAAACTTTCACTCGCTTTAAATTAAATTTAGTCGAAGACATTTAAAGAATATTACAGCGATCAGTCGCGTTTGAAAGATCAATTGCAGGGCCAGCAGAGAGCCGATAAAACAAATCCGTCCCAATCGATTGAAAAATTCAGTCGTGTGGATGAAAAATTCACTTTAAGCTCGTGTTAAACATTCACTCTCGTAATTTTGAGTACGCAGTATCGACAATTAGCGGCACACTTTCGCTATCGCTTCAAGTGAATCCTTGCTTCTTTTTCATGAGATTTTACCGCAAAAAATAAAATCGAGAATAAAATCGAAGTCTCTGCTGAGACGAGAGCATCCAAACGAAAGCGAACCGGGTTTTCTGCGAGAGGCACTACGAAGAGAAGACAACGAGACGAATTTTAATAGCGCAATATTTTTTGCGCTGTTACGTGCGTTCACATAATTTGAAGGGGAACATGCTTCGATTATTTGGATCGAAACAGACTATTGATTCGCGCCGGAATATTCGAGCGTAGAGTGGCTTTTTCGCGGCGTGGAGTTCCCCGACAAGAATCTTTCTTCGTTAGTCGATTATCAAAGTATACATATATATATATGTGTGTGTGTGTGTGTGTGTGTGTGTGTGTGTGTGTGTGTGTGTGTGTGTGTGTGTGTGTGTGTGTGTGTGTGTGTGCGTGCGTGCGTGCGTGCGTGTGTGTGTGTGTGTAGCGTCACAATTTCCAGAAGGTCGTTCAAACCGCTTAAGTTCACCAAGATTATTGACGTTTTCGCGAAGGCCGTAATGGAGGAGCAGCCCGTGTCTCCATCTCCGTTTAGTTGTAATACGATCTATAATGATGCATGTGCCTAAAATAACGTCGCGCTTTCGCCACACGCAACACGCGAGTTTATGTGAGAATTCCGCATTCGACGGGCAACTTTAAACGGCTCCTCTCCGCCACTCGTTGTCGGCCGCTCGAACACTCCTCGTTTTCGCGAGCCATTTTTGCAATTTATCGCACGAGAGAGAAAAAAGCGGGGGATCATTTCTTCAAATATTCGCGTCTTGAGATGTAATCGTCCGGGATATATACTAATATATAATAATAACAATAACGTTCATACAGTAACTTTATTGATTTGATTTTGTCGTTAGGATGAACGATAATACCTTTGATCGATAATCTGATAGACGTTTGAAATAGTGATTTATATAAGGACAGTCCGACATGCGAAAGCACTTCTCGGCACTTTTATGATTTAACAATATTAAGACTACTATATCAAGGTGTCTGAAACTTCATCATATATAGTACATAAAAAATTTATATACTCGGTGATATTAAAATTCAGTTATAATTGCATCAGCTTCATTTTTTCATCTTACGTATTCAAAGTAAATATTTATACTGAGATTGGAACATATTATGGATGTATTTAGAATTCATAAAAAAGAAATGAGTTAAATTTCATACAAGAGCTTCTGTATATTTTAAAAGTTTGAGAAGCGCGCGTGGAAAATACCGTTCTATGTGCATTTTGCAACTAAATCTGATCGTAAAGACCGTGTTGACTTAAAAGCGTATTGGCCGGTTCAATTACGAAAATATATTGCTATCAAATAGTCGCATGAAAGTGTTTATAATTTTTAATAACACTCCAAGTCCAAAAAAGAAAGCGACACGACGTTCTAACTGCGTTAATTTGGAACAGCCAATTAACCTCGGCAGACACGCATCGCCGTAAATAATCCATAAGAGCCGAACGCAGGTTGAAAGTGCGCTCGTTGCAAATATCGACAATCAATATCAAGACACAACTATTCATACTTGCAAAATACACACTTGCCACTTACTTTCGACCCTTGCAGGCTTTCGTGACGGAAGAAATTCGGCTCGATATAAGCACGAGAAAATTAATTCGTTACGATCCTTCCGAGCACAAGTCGACCTCCTTTCCTAGTATCTTTTATGAATAAAATATTGGTACTCTCTTTCCACCACGCGACTAAACTATTAACCCGATACTATTAACCCTTTAACTGCTGAGATATTAAATGACCAGTGTGACTCTCTTTGCTGAATTATTTTTACAATTATAAAATATTTTATAATGATAAGAGATGGCACTATATGCCCGCACAATTCAAATGCTTTTTACAAACTAAATTAAATGGGTATTACACATTGAAAGTCCAAATCGAGTAAACTCGATCGTAGTAAGGCCGCCATTTTTTTCCACACTCGAGTTATCTCGACCGTAGCAGGTTAAAGGGTTAACCGCCCTAATGGAACAACACGCGCACACGACGAT